TAAATTTTTACTGAAATTAATAATAAATTTAAATAAAATTAAAAAAAGAATTTAGGCAGAAACGTCCCATTGAAGGCTAGGATAGGGGAGGCACAAATTGTAAAAGAAAATAATTTTTAAAGAAAATTATTGGTAAGGAGTGATCTTTTCCTGTAACAGCTATGGTGAGTCCTGGTGTTCTGAAAAGAGAAGTTATGTAGTGACCCTGTGTACAACAGCTCCGAACCCTGCTCTATCCTGTGCCAACCTTACTGTCTCTGACACACCTACCCCCATTGCCCCAGTGGCTGAATCAACCCATCTCAGAATAGAGAAGGGGTATTGTAAATTATTGGAAGTAGCAGTGGTATCCACTTCAGTAATTGAAAGGCTTCAAGTCTTTTGTTCATAGGTTCACTATAAGTCGTGCTCGACTCTGGCAATCAACAATAATACTGTAAATTAGCTTGTCAGATGTTATTTAGAGGGAAAGTGAGCATATCTTTCTAATTTGGTACCTTGGAAGCATTGGTTGCCTAGTGGTAAGAAGCTGCACTGCAACCCCAAAGGCATGAGGTTCAAATCTACCAGCTGCTCGGTGGCAGAAGGATAGGCGGTCTTCTCCCATGCAATTTATTGCCTCTGAAAACCCACTGGAGGGTCAGCTGTGTCAGCTCTGCAGCAATGAATGGCTGCAAACCCAACCATCTGGTACCACCACGTGTGGTGGGTAACTAGCAGAAAAGTAAGCAGTTGTTTGCTGATACCGTTGGCTACCTCATGCACTTGCCTCCTGACTGCAAGGTTTGAGATTTTAGCCTGCCCAGAGGCACCTTGGAAGAAAGGCCTGGCACTCTGCTTCCCAAAACATCTACGGAGCACAGTTCTCAGACATACGTGTCATCATGCATGAGAATCAACAACTGGAACAAAAAAGTGACAATAAGGCTGACTTTAATAGAGAAAGTTGTCAAGATTTGGGGTAGAACATCTATAAAAAATAGATTTTTAACCTGAATACTGCTTCAGATTAACCTGTGGAACTTCTCTAAACTGGAGCCTCTGCTCTTCCCCACCCCACCCCCAGGCCCTCTAGGCTCACCGTGACTCAGGCACAGGTTCCACTTGCCCTCACAATCACCGTCTTTAAGTGGATTGAGAACTTTCTGGAAAGCTAACATTCCTGGGCTCCAGGAACAGATGCTGACTCAGTGGTTGCTGCTGGGATTCGTGTTTTCACATTTCTAGACCTCACAGGTGACGCCTGTGCACATGGGACACAGAGCAGTGAATGGTATGAAAAAGTACAGGGCCATGAGTTCTGTGCTTTCATATGTATGAAAAAGGCCAAGTGAGATGATGTTCTTACACGAACAGGTTTAGCCTCGTTTGTTATAAAGGGCTTATAAGAACTAAAGGGAGCTCTGGTGGCCAAGTGGTAAGGAGTTGTGCTGCCAATCCAACAGCAGATGGTTCAAATCCTCCAGCTGCTCGGTGGGAGAAAGGTGGGCACCATCTCCTGTGTAATTTACAGCCCCCAGAAACCCGCTGGAAGGTTAACTATGAGTCAGTCCCAACCTGATGGCACAGAACAGCAGCAACAACATGAGAACAAAACAGGACTTCTAAACAGATTCTCTTCAAAACCAAGCTGGGAAAACAGAACTTGGAAACAGATTTTCTTTTAAAAATCAAGCTGTTCAATTGCCACCAATTTTTAAAGTTCTTCTTAACATAATTTCTAATGACCAGTATTCTTCATTTATAAACCATGAATTATCAGATGGATATTTCTCATTTTTATGACATGACTTAACTCTAGCCCTTGTCCTTTCTCTAAATCATCAGCCTCTAAAAGAAATGAGATTCTAGAGTTTTGCAAAAGAGTTGTCTGTGAATTAAGGCAGAAGCAATTGTTAATGAATGTGCCATACTAGTTACTTAGATAACTAAGAACGGTAGCCCAGATCTGAGGGTGGTGGAGTGGAGAGAGCCTTGCCTTAGAAAAAAAGACTTCATCCAAATGCTCCTGACCCCCAAATCTGTTTAGTGTCTTCCTCAAGGATCGCTTCTACCTGCTTTTAAATAGCTCCAGGCTTCTACTGGTCTTGTGGAAATGCAATCAGTTTTGTTAAGCCTACACACTTCTCCAGTTAAAGCTGAAGCTGTGGCTGCCCAGGAAATTCTAGCTGAGGTTTGAAGGCGTCTAATAACTCCTATAATGGGATTTACTGTGCAGGATTCACGTTTCACCAGGATTGCATCGAACGTATTAGGAAGTCTCACGGAACTGACTGACTTTATGGCTGGGTCTCCGTCTTGGATCTGCATCCTCACCTCTTTGGTTCCTTAAATCGACGGCCTGTCTTGGATGGAACCAGCCTCATGCTGGATTCATCAGCCTCCAAACCTTCACGCCACGGACCTAGGATTTTAAATCTCTGCAATCATGTAAGTCATTTCTTTCAGCTAAA